AAGACGAAGACTAGGGAAGATGGGGTTCGGACCCCCTCCCCAAACCTAGGGTAACTTTGCAAGTGGAGGGGTCCCCAGTTCAGTTCTTGGTTGATACAGGAGCACAGCACTCGGTCCTAGTTAAAACTAATGGAAAATTATCCTCCAAGTCCTCGTGGGTACAAGGGGCCACAGGAATTAAGAAATACCCCTGGACAACACAAAGAACAGTAAACCTCACAGCCAGGAATGTAACCCATTCTTTCCTGGTCATCCCTGAGAGCCCCTGTCCCCTATTAGGGAGAGACCTGCTAACTAAAATGGGAGCACAGATCCATTTCCTCCCCGAAGGGCCCGTCGTGACCAACTCCCAAAATCAGCCCGTGTCCATCCTGACTATAACCCTAGAAGATGAGTGCCGGCTCCACCAGGAGCGAACGGCCCCTGACCAGGACATAGCAACCTGGCTCCAGCAATATCCAGGAGCTTGGGCGGAAACGGGGGGCTCAGGACTAACAAAACACCATCCTGCCTTGTTTGTTGAACTCAAGCCTGGGACAGACCCCGTTTGGGTACGTCAATACCCGATGCCCTTAGAGGCCAAAGAAGGGATTGCACCACATATTCGCCGGCTCCTCGACCAAGGGGTCGTTTGCCCATGTCACTCGCCCTGGAATACTCCATTGTTGCCAGTACAAAAACCTAGTAGCGGAGAATACAGACCTGTACAAGACTTAAGAGAAATCAACAAGAGGGTTATGGACACACATCCAACTGTGCCTAACCCGTATACCCTCCTGAGTACCCTAAACCCTAAACATCAATGGTACACTGTTTTAGATTTGAAAGATGCTTTCTTCAGTTTGCCTTTAGCCCCTCAGAGCCAAAAGCTCTTCGCCTTCGAGTGGACTGACCCTGAGAGGGGCGTAAGTGGACAACTGACATGGACCAGACTGCCGCACGGATTCAAAAACTCTCCTACCCTGCTCGATGAGGCCCTCCATGAAGACCTGGGTGAGTACCGATGCAAACACCCTGAAATAACCTTACTACAGTATGTTGAAGACCTCCTGATTGCTGCTGAGACCCAAGAAGCTTGTATTCAAGGGACCAAGAGTCTCTTACAAGCTCTAGGAAACCTAGGCTACCGAGCCTCGGCAAAGAAAGCTCAAATCTGTAAATCAGAAGTAACATATCTGGGGTACCTGCTAAAAGGAGGGCAGCGCTGGTTAACAGACGCCCGAAAGCAGACTGTTCTGCAGATCCCCAGGCCACAATCCACCCGACAAGTAAGGGAATTCCTGGGGTCGGCAGGATTTTGTAGACTATGGATACCTGGGTTCGCAGAGCTGGCTAAACCCTTGTATCAGGCAACACGGGGGCAGCAGCCATTTAATTGGGCAGACGAAGCTGAGTCAGCTTTCCAACAGATCAAAACCGCCCTACTCTCTGCGCCTGCACTGGGACTACCTGATGTCACCAAGCCCTTCCACTTATACGTGGACGAGAACAAGGGTGTCGCCAAGGCGGTAATAACTCAGAACTTAGGCCCCTGG